CTTGCCGCTGCGGTTGACATTCATGAGGAAGGCGGCCACCTCGTGGAGGCCCTGGAGGATGGTCGAGCACTGTGCCCCGCCAACTTCGCACATAACAGTGGTCATCTGCGTGCGGTTCACCAAGGTGCGAAGTCGATCGCGCTCCGGCCTCAAGTGGAACATCCAGCGAAGTGCAGTCTTCCATGCCAGCGTCTCAGGGCGTGCGTAAGTGCGCTTCATGGGTGGCCTCCACTTGAGCTGTCTCCAGACAAACCGTGGTGCACCGCCTCGACCCTGATATGCCAAGGCGGGAGGCCCCACCAAATCAAAACGATTAGTGAGCTCCACCTCCACACCCTGCACGAGCTGAACCCACGCAACAGCCAGATCTTGGGCATCCTGCGCCTCCGCGACCTGGACATGCGACCAGTCCAGAGGGAAGCGAGCACATCCTACAGGGGCCCGCTGTGGAAACTCACGAGGAAGGTCAGGGACAAGCCTCCACGCAGGGACATCCTGCGCCGTCAAATAAACCGAAACAGGCAAGTGCGGATACAGCGTCGAGCCCTCATCAACACTGACGTGGTCCGCCATGCGAGCCGACAAATTGGAGGCCACGAAGTAGTCCAGTGTGGTACCGGGCGAACTCTGGCGGCAGGTGGGGAGCTTCGGGGCCAGCGGGACAGCAGCAGTGGCACGCAGCCAGGGCTGTGAAGTCATAACCTCAGCCTCATTGTTCCAGTCACCGCCGATCATCCAATCATGGCCTGCGCTGTTCAAGGCGCAGAGGGACTGCGCCAAAGCCCACGCATATGCGGTATTGACAGGGCCCATCTTGTCATAGGCGTCAAAATACAGGCTGCCAGCAACAAAGCCACCAGGAACACCCCAGTGCACATGAGTGAGCAAGCATCTGCCCTTCACAATCTCAGCGTCAGCTTCACCAAGATCAGGCGCCGACAGCATTATGTCGGTCCTTGCCAGTACCGCCACACCAGCGACGGTGCCTGCATCAGACCTGTCGCTAGGCAGGGCTGCGACCCAGTGGCCATGCCAACCCAGGTCACGGGCCTGCGTCTGGGCACTTGGCAACCTGTGCTCAGGAAGGTGATGCTCCTGAACCAAGACCACCCTGGCAGACGTGGTAGGCAAGAACTCCCACAAGCAGCCGTGGGAAGAGACATTGACCGACACCACTTCGCCCTTCAGCTTCAAAAGGTGGTCTGGCGACGCGTGAGGTCCTGACAGCGTTTCGAATCCCAGACGCGGCATCGAGGCTGTACCAGTCGAGGGGCACCCCGTTGTCAGTGCCACCCATGGTGCTGCACGAGGGACCGGAGCAAGGGGCCGCCGAAATCGTCGCAGGCGCCGAGGCTGGAGTCCATGAGGCCTCACCCGCGCCAGCGCCCCCACCCCTTCCAAGGGCAGAGCCCGAGATCCTTAGGGCAGGCACTGGGGCAGGTGCGGCCAAGGGGGTCGCTGATGGAGCAACACTTGTCGGGGAACCGGGCTGCTGCACAGTCATGCGAGGAGCTGAGCCGTGCGCCATGGCAGAGCGCGGAACCGGCACCCCACACAGGGGTTGAGACCCTGCGCAGGCTGCAAGCGCACGAGCGTCACCAACAAGAAGCTCACGACCGAGAGAAGAAGCCTGACCAGCCGAAACAACACGAGCCTCCATGGTTGCGTCGAGCTCGCAACTGACTGCCGCACCCCCCGACGGCACTCCACAGGCGGCGGCGCCGCCGCCATCGTCACCAGTATGGACCATCATGATGCTAACGACCATCACCATACAGGAGAGGACCTTACCGGGCAACAGTACCAGCCTTCTTCTGGCGCTTGGCCAAGGACTGGAAATTGCCGAGGAGACGCTTCGCCGTATTGCGAACCTCCTCCTCAGGTCCTCAGAGCCACTCGACTCCTGCCCCATGGGCTGCACGAGCTCCTTGACATCAGCCAGGTCGATGTCGTCCATGTCGACATCAGGCACAGGGTGGCCAGCAGCAGCCGCCAGCCGAGCGCCATCAGACCCAGCAGACCCCGCAGCAGCAGGTGCAGGAGCTGGCGGAGGCGGGGCAGGCTCGGCCCGCACAGCCTGTTGCACCTGGGCGAGCCATGGCCTGACATGCTGAACACAAGAGGCCGCCAGCTGCTCCCCAGCGCCCAGCTGGGCAATGACAGTCTGCAGCTGCTCCAGACTGGCATTGAAGTTCGTGACCACAGCCTCGCGGCTTTGGTCTGGACTGCCAGCAGCGGGCGGAGGCACCGTGCTCTTGAGCATCTCCACGCACTCGAGATGAAGCGCCTCGCGAGCAACAGTCTTCTCGCGCAGCTGCTGACGCTGCTCCTCGAGAATGTTCTGTTGCTTAGTGATCTCCGCCTCGGTCTCCACGATGGTGGCTTGAAGCTTGGAGATCTGGCCGTCCATGCGCTGGATACGATTCGCCATGCCATGCGCCTGAGTGGCGAGAGGCTTGGCGGCTTGAATCTCAGCGCGCAAGTCCTTAGACCGCTGCTCGTACTTGGCGTAGCCCTCGACTTGCTCCGGCTTCTGCCCCATAGCCTTGGCAGCAGCCTGCATCGAGGCACAGATGCCCTCGACTGCCTCCAACTCCTCCTGCTTCGCATCAGGCGTGGAGGAGGCAGCAGTGTCGTCACCAGCAGCACCGTCAGCAACGCCAGCACGATCAGGAGGGGCCCGAGACTGGTCTCCCTTGGCCGCCTGCTGGAGCTGCTGCACCTGCTTCCGCAGGGCCGCCAACTCCTTATCCTTTGCGCCAGAAGCATCCGCAGGTGGCGGTTTCTTCTGGTTCCGGCTGGGGCTGTCCGGCGTGACGTCCCGCAAGTAGCATTTGCCCTTGGCCATGCCGCACATGAAGCATGCAGATGCGTCGGCGTGGTTGAACCAAGGCTGGCCGTTCTTCGGGTTGATGCAGGAGCGACACAACCACTTGTTGGCCCGCTCCCGACGACGCTGTGCACCCCGACCCGCCATGGCGCCCACGGAAGAACCCCGAGCACGAGCAGGAATGTGAATATCGTCGTCTTTGTATGGGAAGAGCTGCGGCGACTGCCGCTTGCAAGTTACAAGATTGGCTCGTGCCCACGAGCCGCTTCGACGTACGTGGGCACAAGCTCGAGCTTTCACACAATCAGCTCGAGCCGAAACGGCTGGAGGAGGAGGAGGAGGAGGAGGAGGAGGAGGAGGATGAGGAGGAGGAGGAGGAAGAGGGGGAGGGGGAGGCGGAAGAGGGGAGGAGGAGGAGGGAGGAGGAGGAGGAGGAGGAGGAGGAGGAGGAGGAGGAGGAGGAGGAGGAGGAGGGGGAGAGGAGGAGGAGGGAGGAGGGAGGAGGGAGGAGGAGGAGAGGAATAGGAGGAGGAGGAAGGGGAGGAGGAGGAGGAGGGAGGAGAGGAGGAGGAGGAGGAGGAGGGGGAGAGGGACAAGCTAGGTGCGCTCGCGTCATATCTGACGTCCTACCCCTCCCTCCCATCCCTTACCATGGCGCTGATTTTCTCTATCCGCGGACGCGTGTCGTAGCGGACCTGTGGCTCCGCGCGCGCGTGCGTAGTGGGTGGTGGTGCACGTGCGTGCGTGCGTGCGTGTGTGCGTGGTTGTCGTGGTGGTGGTGGTGGTGGTGGTGGTGGTGTGGTGGTGGTGGTGGTGGTGGTGATGGTGGTGGTGGTGGTGCTGGTGGTGGTGGTGTGGTGCTGGTGGTGGTGGTGTTGGTACTGGTGCTGGTGCTGGTGGTGGGGTGGTGGTGGTGGTGGTGGTGGTGGTGGTGGTGGTGGTGGTGGTGGTGGTGGTGGTGGCGGTGCGGCGCGGTGGTGGCGGGCGGATGGGCGCGCGAGAAAAAGGCCCGCGCTGGGGCGAGAACGCCATCCTGAACGACGGAGGCCAAACACCGATCCGAAAATGAGGCCCACGCTGCAGCGGGAGCGCGATTCGGAACGATTCGGGAGCAGAAATGAGGCCGGCGCCTCAACGAGAGCAGCATTTTGGGAAAAAATGACGCCGGCGCCTCAGCGAGAGTCGTTTCCCGGGATTTCCCGGGAATCCTGTGTGCAAAAAAACAGTACGCGGAGGGTGCGCGGCCATCACCCGGACGCCATCAGGGGAAGAGGGGGAGTATTTCCATATTGAGTAATTGGGAGGAGGGGAGAGGGAGGAGGAGGAGGAGGAGGAGGAGGAGGAGGAGGAGGAGGGGAGGAGGAGGAGGAGGAGGAGGGGAGGAGGAGGAGGAGGGGGAGGAGGAGGAGGAGAAGGAAGAGGAGGAGGAGGAGGAGGCGGAGGAGGAGGAGGAGAAGGAGAAGGAGGGGGAGGGAGAGGAGGAGGAGCAGGAGGAGGAGGACGAAGAGGAGGAGGAGGAGGAGGAGGAAGAGGAGGATGAGGAGGAGGAGGAGGAGGAGGAGGAGGAGGAGAGGTGGAGGAGGAGGAGGAGGCCGAGGGCGCACGACCCGGCGAGCCGGCGCCATTCTGCATCCAATGGCGAGCCCTGCCCCCTGGGGGTCCCTTCGGCGAGGGGGCACCAGACAGCCCCGCTGGTGCTCACGTGGCTGTGCAGACATCCCTCGGACTCTGAACCCCAGGCGGCGTTCTTCGAAGACGAGAAAACGCCATCAACATTAAACTTTGGGCGCTCCGCGCGGATCTCTTGGATTCGCGCCGGTCCCCCCTGGCGGCGCATCCGGCGCCGCCCCTGGCGCGCTCCGCGCGCCAGGGAGGAGGGGTCCGGCGCGGATCCAAGAAACCCTCGCTGAGCGCCAAAAAGCTTATATATTTATGGCGTTTTCCCTTTTCCTAGCTCCCTAGAAGCCCAGACATGCGACGCCCTCAATTTTTCAATACAGGGTCCCTGGATGTCCCGACCCTTTTCCCCCGGCACCAGTTTTTCGTCCTGAGTCGTTTTCTGACAGCCCCGAGGACGGGCGAGGGCCCCCCGAGGTCGAAAATTGGCAAAAACCTGCCGTCCTGATGTTCTTAATCACGAGGCGAGCTTGTCTGGGAATCTGACCTGCAGGGGTGGGCCTCCCCGCGGTCGCCCCGCCATGCTGTGGCAGGGCGCCCGGGCTGCTCTCTCCGCCTGCCGCGCGGCGCCCGGGGCGGTGCCCGCGGCCGCGCTGGAGGGCGCCGAGGCCTCGCGTCCCCGCAAGGCCGGAGCCCTGCACGGCTGAGCCGTTCGGGACTGAGGGGACGGGGGTCCATGCAAACGGGGGTCAGCCAGAGCGCCCGATCTTGCAGGACCCTGCAGGGCCAGGGTCGCACTGACCCGGGCTTGGGTGCAGGATGCTGCAGGATATCCTTTGCATCGACCCGGGTTTGGGTGCAGGATCTTGCAGGGTTCTGCAAGGCCTGACTGACCCGGGTCTGGATTGACCCGGGTCAGCAGATCCCCGAGCCGTGTCTGCGTCGAGCCTGGCAGGTGCCCGAGGTGAGCACGCCTGCAAATGTTCGGCACTGAGACATCGACCCAGACATGATCGCGTCTTAAAAAAAGTCAGGATGGGAGGTTTTTGCCAATTTTCGGCCTCGGCCGGCCCTCGCCAGGCCTCGGCAGCGTCCAAAAACGAGTCAGGACGAAAAACCGGTCCCGGGGAAGGGTCGGGACTTCCAGGGGCGCCGTCCTGAAAAAATTAGGGCGTCGCATGCTTGGGTTCGGCACTGAGAAATCGAGGCCTCCCAGATGGGGTCGGAGCAGATGGGGTCGGAGGATCGCGCCTCATCGCCGATGCACCGCCTTATGCGGCTCGATGTGGAGCCCGGGTCTCTCCCATCTGCCTGCAGAGGTCCGGCGCGGAGAACCTTGAGATCCAGGCGTTGCAGTTTGTTCACACTGGGCATGTTCGCCCAGTTTGGGACCCTGGCGCCGTCAAAGATCGACCCACCTCGAGAAATGGCGCAGGAAGATGGGGTGCAGGGCTCCAGTCGTGATTGTTCGTGATGCTGATTTGTTTTGGAAGCGTCGGATCCCAGGAAAAGCAGGAAGCGGGCCCTGGCGGTTTCTTTGCCGTTTTCGGCCTTTGCTGAGATTTGGCAGTTGCTTGGCGCTAAGGGCGGGGGGGAATCAACGGGGAGTGAAGAATGGCATACCGTTCAAGCACCTTTTGGACGCGGGGTGGCAGTTTAGGACGTCAGTGCGGACGTTCCCTTCAGAAGGCGGTCTCGTCGGTGGCAGGCATCGGCGAGAAGCATTCGCCAGCGCTTGCTGGAAATGCTTGCTCGAAAATGCAGCGTGTCCGCCCAGTGTTACGAATAGGCAGTGCTACACATGCCAGATGTTTTCAAATCGCGCGTGCTTGGATTGATGCATGACGCCTGCAGAGAACCCTGACCTCCGGCGACTCGAATGAAACGTGGATTCTTTATCGAAGACGCCTACGGCGAATCACCGCCGCCCCCTGACTTTTGGAATCGCCCACGTGGCCGAGCGTTGTGGCAAGAGCCCTGCCAAGCTATCGGAGCATTTGTTCCCCGAGCCGTTGTGGAAACCATTCAGGGAACAGTTGGGGGATGATGGCAGAGAAGATCAGGAGGAGGAGGAGGAACAAGGAGGGGAATCTTGGGAGCCTCTGGGGGCACTCTCGGGGCCTCCTGGGAGCTTCCTGGGAGCCTCTTGGATGCATCTCGGGGGCCTCCCTGGAGGCCCTCTAGGGGGCCTAGGGGGGCTTCTCGGAGGCCTCTTTGAGCCGTCTTGGACACCTCTCTGGGCCGACTTGGGGCCCTCTTGGGGTGATCCAGGGCCGTTCGGAAGCTTCTTGGGCCGTCTTGGGGGCCCTCTTGGGGTCGTCTTGGGGGCCTCTTGGGCCGTTGGAGGTCATTTGGGTAATTTTGGATGCCCTTTGGGCGATTTTGGGGCCCTCTTGGGGTGCTCCAGGGCTGTCTTGGATGCCTCTTGGGCCGTCTTGGGGCCCTCTCGGGGCCGTCTTGGAGCCTCTTGCGCCACTTTGGGCCATCTTTGAGCAAGCGTTGGCAGTCTTTGTGGGCTCCTGGCCTGTCTGACGCCGTCGGCAGCCGTCTTGGGTGCCTCTTTGAGCCGACTTAGGGCCTCTTGGGGTGCTCCAGGGCCGTCTTGGGTGCCTCTTGGGGCCGTCTTCGGGGCCTCTTGGGCCGTTCTGGAACCATCTTGGAGGCACCTTGGGCGATCTTGGGGCGATATTTGGGGCTATCGGGCCGTCTCAGGCCGTCGGAAGGTGGACAAAAAGCATCTGCCAGCATCTTTTGACAACCTATAGAACATGCACGATATTGCCTCTTCGGGCCTTCCTGGTGGCCCTCTTGGGAGCCTATTGGGCAGTCATGGAGACTTCTTGGGTGCCTCGTGGGCCGCCTTGGGCCGTCTTAGAGCCAGCCTGGGCCGTCTCGATGGCCTTCTGGGCCGTCAGACGCCGACGGAAGCCGTCTTGGGGGCCTCTCTGGGCCAACTTCGGGCCCTCCTAGTGTGCTCCAGGGCCGTCTTGGAGGCCATCTTAAGCATCTTGGAGGCGTCTTGGGCAGTCTTGAAGCCCTCTTGGGGCCATCTTGGGGGTCGCGTTGCCGTTCTGGGGGCCATCTTGGAGGCCTCTTAGACGATCTTGGGGCGATCTGTGGGGGCTCTTGGGCCGTCTTGGGCAGTCGGAAGGCCGAAAAGAAGCACGTGCCCAAATCCTTCAAAAACCGGTGGAACGTCAATGATGTTGGTCTCTTCGAGCCGTCCTGAAGGCCCTCTTGGAGGCCTCTTGGGCCGTCTTGGAGGCCTCTTGGGGGCGTCTCGGAGAGTTTTGGGACGTCCTGGAGCCAGTTTGGGCAGTCTTGGCGGCTTCTTCGGCGGGTTTGGAAGTATATTAGACCTCTTGGGGCGTCTTGGAGGCAATTTTGGTCCTTCTTGCCCTATTGGGAGCCATCTTGCCCTATTGGAAGACATCTTAAGCCGTCTTGGAGATTTGTTTCCCAACCCTCCCATGGTTGGGTTCTCGTATTGAATAGAGTAGTGGGGTCGCCGGCTCCCTTCTCCTTCTCCTCCCCCCCCGCTCTCTTTTCGGTTCTGTCTTCTCGCATCCCTCCCAGGGGCTGCGAAGTGTGCAACTGTCGCCACTTTCGAGGGCTGTTGGGTAGGCCAGCACACTGGGGTCCCGCGCAGACCCAAACGGGACCTCGCCATCCCTGAGGGGGCTGCGAACGAGTAAAACGGTCGCCTTTTTCGAGGGCTGCTAAGGGGGGCCAGCACGAGTAAAACGGTCGCCTTTTTCGAGACCCAAATGGGACCTCGCCATCCCTGGGGGGGCTGCGAAGTGTGAAGTTGTCGCCACTTTCGAGAGCTGTTGGGGGGGGCCAGCACAGTGGGGTCCCATGCAGATTCAAACGGGACCTCGCCATCCCTGGGGGACTGCGAGTGTGCAACCGTCGCCATTTTCGGGGGCTGCTGGGGGGGGCCAGCACAGTGGGGTCCAATGCAGATCCAAACGGGACCTCGCCATCCCTGGAGGTGCTGCGAAGTGTGCAACCGTCGCCACTTTCGAGAGCTGCTGGGGGGGCCAGCACAGTGGGGTCCCACGCAGACCCAAATGGGACCTCGCCATCTTTGGGGGGCTGCGAAGTGTGCAACTGTCGCCACTCGAGGGCTGCTGGGTGCCAGCACAGTGGGGTCCCACACAGATCCCCAAAAAGACATCGCCATCCCTGGGGTCGCTGCGAAGTGTGGAGCTGTCGCCGCTTTCGAGGGCTGGCGGCGCGCCAGCGCGCGTGTGGTGCTCGCACTCAGAGGTGCGGGGAGGAAGTGGAGAGGCATCGGGCGAGCTAGGCCTCGACCGCGTCTCACACGAGTGACGGGAGCTTTTAGCTTTCCGAGGCGCTGCAGCAACGCGGAGCGCTGGCCGCGCAGGTGTTGAGCACTTCGGCGTGGAGAAACGCGGCACTTCATCGTCTGGTTGCGTCTCGGCCTATGTAAACTTACCTTGCCCATGCTCCATCATCTCGCTGCTTCTGCCGAGGTGAATGTTTTTCCGCTCTGATGTGTTCCGTTTGCTCCTCCTTTCCAATACAATGCCTCCTGGCGTGTTGTACCTCTGGTCTGAGAGTCGTCAATGCACACTTCGCACGATATAGGCATCCGCCGTGCATCGTCTCTTGCAGTGATGCAGTTAATACTAGCGCCGGCACACCTTATATCACCCCTTGGTGCCGATGGGTTGGGGACGTCGCAGGGTAATGTGCACTTCGTGCTTGTTTCCGGTCCCTTCTGGAATGCCGGCAGGACGGGCCGAAGCCCCGGGGGTGAGCTCTTTTGGAAAAAGTACCAAACCAAACCTTAAGAAGTCCAGCGCGCCAGGCACCCCTGTGGTCATACCACAGGGGCGGCGGATCGAAGACGCCTACGGCGAATCACCGCCGTCACCTGCCTCTTTGGAAGCGCCTATGCGGCCGAACGTTGAGGCCAGACCTTCCAAGCTATCGGACCATGTGTTCCCCGAATCGGTTTGGAATGTCTTCGGGGAACACGTGGGCATCTTGAAGGTCATCTTGGCCGTCTGGAGGCCATTTTGACCCTTTCGGGCCTTTGCAGGACGTCTTGGAGGGCTTTTGGGCCGTCTTGGAGGCCATCTGGAGCATCTTGGAGACCTCTAGGGCCGTCTTGGGGGCCTCTTTGGGCCGTGTTTTGGGCCTCTTGGGCGATCTTTGGGGGCACTTGGGCCGTCTCGGGCTGTCGGAATGCAGAAAAAACCAAATGCCACAATCCTTCGAAAACCCATGGGAAATCAATGATTTTGAACTTTCCGGGCCTTCCTGGAGGCCTTCTTGGAGGCCTCGTGGGCCGTCTTGGGCCATCTTAGGGCCATGTTCGGTCGTCTTGGTGGGCTCCTGGTCCGTCTGACGCCGTCGGAAGCCGTTTTGGGGGCCTCTATGGGCCGACTTGGGACCCTCTTGGAATGATCCAGGGCCGTCTTGGAGGCCCATCTTGGGCGCCTTAAAAGGCCTCCTGTGCTGTCTTGGAGGACTCTTGGGGCCGTCTTGGGGCCCTCTTGGGCCGTTCTGGGGCCATCTTGGAGGCCTCTTGGGCGATCTGTCGGCGATCTTCGGGGGCTCTTGGGCCGTCTCGGGCCGTCGGAAGGCCGAAAAGAAGCAAATGTCAAAATCCGTCAAAAACCTTAGGACAATCAATGTGTTGGGCCTCTTCTGG